GAGAGGGGAAGGCACAGGGGATGGAAGGTGAGGCTGGGGAGAGGGGAAGGCACAGGGGATGGAAGGTGAGGCTGGGGAGAGGGGAAGGCACAGGGTGCAGGACTGAGGTTCGAGGAAGTGGACGGTTCACCCCTGCAGGACTAGCGGTGGAGGCAGGGTGGGGGGCAGTGGGGGACTGGGGCTCACCAAGGAGGGCACAGTGCTTGATGGCCCAGCAGTAGGCATAGAAGCACTCCTCAAGTGCCCGGGGGAAAGGGGCCTCGGGGGCCAGAGAGTAGTCGATGGAGAGGATGGGGGCGCCCAGCTCCTGAGCCCAGCTCTTGAGGTAGGGCTCGTGGGACCTGGAGGTCTGGGCCACAAAGCCGCCACCGTGGATGTGCACCACCAGGGACCGTGAGCGGGGGGCCTGCTGGGGGCGGGGCCGCAGCTCCAGGCTCCGTGGGCCCTCTGACTTCACCAGGCTGTTGAGCTCTTCACTGTCCTGGGGGGTGAGGAGGGAGGAGGCAGTGAGACAGGTGGGCCTGGCCCTTACCCCTCTGCCAGGGGATATGCTCAGAGAGACAGGATGGGGCACAGGGAGCATGGGGGTGGGCAGGTGTGAGCAGTAAGGGGCAGGAGGGTATGAGGGGTGGGGAAGCAGGCAGGGCATGTGGGGCGGGTGTGGAGGGGCCGCCTGTGCCTCCTCGGCTCACGCCTGAACCTGAGGCTGGGACCCTACCTGCCCTTCTCTAAGGTCGTAGGAGATGAGCCGGGCGAGAACGGGCCCAGGACCCGTGTGAGCCAGTGGGGGCGAGACGGTGACGGTGAGCCTGGCGTCTGCAGCCAGTGGCATCTCAAAGGCCTTGGGAGGCAGGCTGAGGAGGCGGCTTACCCTCACGGCGGCTGATGCCATGTTGGCCAGAGACTGGTGGGAGGGATCAGAAGGGGCGCTGGGTGGGGGCTGCCTGGGGTGGGGTCCAGTCCCCAGCCTTTTCCCTCATGTGCTCTCCCTGGGCCCTGCAGAGAACTGCTGTGGCCACGGATGGGTCTCGGGACCTCAGTCTCGCCGTCTATAACATGTCAGGGTCTGACTGTGCCCCACACTCACCGAGAGCACCTCGATCTCGGTGATGTTCCAGAAGGCTTTCCAGAAGTGCACGTCCAGGTTCTGTGTGATCCGCTCAAACTCCGCCCCGCGCAGCTCTGGGTCGATGGCGAAGCGGCCGCCGGTGAAGAGGGAGCTGGCGGTCACTCCTGAGGGTTGGCAGGGGTGTCAGGGAACCCCGTGTGTCAGACTGCAGGGGCAGGAAGTGAGGCTAGGGCAGGGCCTGGAGGACTCACCGAGGCCTGTCTCGTTGCGCTTGTAGTGCTCCCCGAAGGACACCAGCCCAATAGAGATGGTCTGCAGGAAGGGCCGGATGGCGGGTGTGAACTGTGGAGAGACGCAGCTGCGTCACCACCCGTCCACCACCCTCCCAGAAGAGGGATGGGGCAGTAGTGAGGGGCGGAGACATGGGGGAGCCACGTTTATTCAGCATACACTTAGTGAACTCCTATTATGTGCCAGAAGCCCTGGTGGCATAGCAGTTAAGAGCTCAGCTGCCAACCAAACAAGCTGGCAGTTCGAATCCACCAGCCGCTCCTTGGAAACCCTATGGGGCAGTTCTACTGTGTCCGATAGGGTTGCTATGAGTCAGAATCGACTTGACTCAATGGCAACGGTGTTTTTTTTGGCATTGTGTGCCAAGCCCTGTTGTAGGTGCTTTCATGGAGTCGATGTTCTTGAAGGGAAGTCGGAGGATGAGCAAATAAAGACATGTAATACACACACGTCAAGTAATGATGAATGAAGAAGACAGCAGGTGGGGGGATACAGTGCCGGCTAGGGGCCCGGCTACTTAGACGGGTCTCCCAGGAGGGGACTTGAGGTGGTATCTGAATGAAGGGCTGGAAGGGTGGCCCCCGCTTGGTGAGGGTCATGAATGGCAAGAGGCTGGTGTGGCTGGAGCAGAGTGAGCAGGGAGGGGGCTCAAACTGGTCGGGGCGCTGGGCTGAGGAACTTGGGTTTCATTCTGAGTGTAGGGTGGAGCCACTGGAGGGCTGTGAGCTGAAGAGTGAGGTGATGGCAGAGAGCTGCTGAGAGTCAGAGAGGACAGAGATGGGGCAAGGCGGACAGTGGGCGCCAGGAACACAAAGGGGAGACAGAGACGGACAGACAGGGACAGAGACCTTGAGGCAGAAAGACAGCCAAATGGGGAGACCACCTGAGGCCCGGAGAGGGGGGCAGGTAGCTAGTAAGAGCTGGACTGATGGGGAAATCAAGGAGAGGGGGTAGACAGTCTAAGAAGGGGAGGGGTGGTTAAAAAAAGCTACAGGGAGACAATGTCACACAAAAAAAGCCACAAGAGGCTGAGGTGGGACAGTTAAGGAACCAGCCCAGGCAGGGGGCCAGCAGGGTCCTTTTCTTCATTTAGCACACACTGGCTGAGGTCCTACTCCTACTGTGTGTGAGGCACAGGGTGGGGAGCTGGCACCCAGCAGGGACTCAGCTGGTGGAGGCCTCTGCCCTCCTGGGGGCTGACATTTTAGAGGGGAGGTGGACAACATGGGAGTGGGGGACGCTGTCCTGCAACATGGCAGAGCAAGGCCCTCAGGGAGCAGTGCGACGCATGTCCCTGTCCCTGGCTGGGGCCCCAGTAGGCCAGAGAGTTGTAGAGGTACCAGGCCATTGTGGCTGGGATGCTGGTTTGGTGGCCCTGGGATCACTCCCAGGACCCCAAGGTCATGGCCAGATGCAGGGAGAAGCCTGCTGGCCCAGCTGTGCAGATAATGTTTGTGGGTTCAGCCTGGGTGAGGAGAGTTTCCTAGGAATGCCTGGGCTTGGTCGCTGAGGGCAGGCTGGCCCACAGGGAAGCACGGAGAGGTGGGGTGGGATGGGGGCACTGAGAGACTGCCAAGTTCATCTGTCACTGTGGTGGGGGCCCTGGGGAGAGGTGGAGGCCCAGAGAAGCTGCAGACTCCCAGCTCCAGATACTCCTGCTGGGGTTCCCTGAAGTGCTGTGGGCTGGCAGACCCAGCACTGACCCCAGACAGGGGCAAGTTGGGTCTCTCCTCTGAGCCTATGCTCCAAGGGCCCTCAATTCTCTGAGTCCTTGAACCACTTCCCACGCAGGTCTGAGGGCCTTCAGGCCTGGCCTCACTTTCAGTGCTGAGATGAACTGCATCTCTGACGGTGGTTTAGGGTGGGTGGAGGGTGGGAGAAAGCAGCTAGGGGTCAGGATGCCTGGCCCACGTCTTCCTCACTGTCACCAACTCTGACGGGCTTCTTGGCGACGTCTAATAATTCTCTCCTTGCCAGCCTGAAAATCCTGTGATTATACAGTATGAGAGGCAAGCCAGCCCAGGCAGATCTGGGTCCCAGTCCCCCAGCTGTGAGCCCCCTCCCCTTGAACCTCCTTGCCCTTCTCTACAAAGTGGGGCTAGCACCGTCCTTCCCTCTCAGGACTCCAGTAGGGATGACTGTAAGAGCACACCTTTGAGAACAACATTGACTACCCTCCTAGGGGTCTCAAACTCAAACGACTTCAGGGGCCAAGTAGGTAACATAAAAAAAGTGAGTGAATCTCCTAAGTGTATGACATATAAAGTCCATATAAAGTAGTGGGAATCATGAGTGAAAACAAAGTGATGTAAATTAAAAGTTTCTCACTGCAGTGAAACCTGTGAGAGCTGGGACTCAACGGGACTGGCTTGTTTTTCGGGGTCTCGCCAGTTTTCCACCTTTGACAGGATGCAGTCTTACCACTTTTCTGTCACTCTCTACTTAGTGGAAAATATTTTGCATTTTCCTTCTCTGACAGGTTTCCGCCTTACACAGGTTCTGGCTTTTGCAGGTTTTACTGTACAAGGTAGTTTCAGCCCAGAGGCCATGAGTTTGAGACCCCTGGTGCAGTTCGCTCTGAGCCCCAGCTTCCCCTTTCTGAACCTGCTGTTTTCTGATTCACCTCATCCTGACCACTGTGCTGTTTCACCAGGTTAGGGGCTGCCAGGTGCCTGCACCATGGGCTCAGAGGGCTCACCTGGAAGCCCAGGCAGCGGCCATAGAAGCAGCCCTTGTGCAGCGTGACATACTCGCGCAGGAAATCGGCTGTGAGACCCTCGTCACCCTCGAAGAAGAGTCTCCCGGGCTGGTTGGTGGTCAGCAGACGCTGGGCGTAGTAGGCCAGAGCACGGAGCTGGGTGAGGGCAGCCAGGTAGGCCTCCAGTTCAGCCAGGTTGTGGCCGGAGCGGAAGAAGATGCTGCGGCGATTGGAGGCCACGTAGCGTGATTTGTGTAGAAGGTGCACCAGGCAGCAGCGGGCTGTGTGCACAAGGCTACGATACCCGTTGGCAGGTGTCTCTGAGTCCAGGTCGAAGAGGTGTGCCACGCCCAGCAGGCGGCCCAGGACTGGCTCCAGCCCCAGTGCCTGCTCCCGCACACCTGCAAAGACGCCCAACAGCCTCCGTGCTGTCTCCCCAGGGCCCTGGCTGGAGAAGAAAGCCATGTTGTCCTCTGCCAGGGTCACCAGTGACTGTGTCATGGTATGCAGGTCCATGCCGTGTGTAAGCCGAGAGGCTGTGGGCAGGTAGAGAGGCCTGTTAGGCAGGGCTAGATCACCCCTTGCTCAACTGGAGCCCAGGAGTCCAGGAGCCTCCTTCTAAGGCCCAGGAGTCTGGGCCCCCAGCCCTCCTCCCTCAGACTCCGGAGTCTGGGCTTCCAGTCCCTCCTCCCTCAGACCCTAGATCCAGACCCCCAGCCCCCTCCTACCTTAGACCCAGGAGTCCAGGCCCCCAGCCCCTCCTCCCTCAGACCCAGGAGTCCTGGTCTCTAGCCCCTCCTCCTGCAGACCCTAGATCCAGACCCCCAGCCCCTCCTGCCTCAGACCCAGGAGTCCAGGCCCCCAACCCCTCCCCCCTCAGACCCAGGAGGTCACCCTCTTGTTTCCAGGACCTAGAAATATAGAGCCCCATCTCCTTCTTCCCCCAAGACCCATGAGTCCAGGTCCCAGTCCCCTTTTCCTTCCTCAGGAGTGAGAAGTTTGAGCCCTCAGCCCCTTTCTCCCTAAGAGCCAGGCCACTCCTGTTCAGGACCCAGGAGTTCCTGCCCTCTCCTGTTGGGATTTGCTGCCCCTGGCCTTCTCCCCTCTCTTGGACCTAGGAGTCCAGATATTCTCCTCAGCTCACAAGATCTGGTTCCCTAGCTCTGGCATCTCTCCTGTGACCCAGGAGTCTACCCACTGCTCTTCCTTCCGGGGACCCAGAATCCAGAAATCCTGACTCCTAGCTTCTGAGAAGTTTGGACCTGGCCCCCAGACGGTCTCCCTTCTCAGGACCCAGGAGTTCAGGCCCCCCATCCCATCTCCCTTTTCAGGTCCCAGCCGTCACCCACTCACCCTTCCCCTCCACCATTTGAGAGAGTTCAGGCCCTAGCCCGCCTGCTGCCATCCACCAGGCGGTACCCCAAGACCCTGGTCTTCAAGCCTGCCTCCTTTCCTGAACCCAGGAGTTCATGACTGCCCTTTGTTTAAAACTAAGGAGTGAGTCCTCTCTGTCCCCTCCTAGTCCCTCGAGTTTGGCTTTGGAACCCCAGCCAAACTCCAGCTCCCTCCTGCTCATCTGTGGCGTCCTAGAAACTCGGTCCTACTCCCCTCAGTGGGTCCTCTGGCCTTCGGGCCTGTCCACTTGTCTTAGATTGCACAGGCCAGCCCTGCTCCCTTGCCTGGACAGTACTCATCGCTGCCATTGACCTTGAACTTACTCTGTGCCAGACCCGTGCTAACAGCTTTCTATGTGTTTGCTCATCTGTTGTTGTTAGGTGCCGTCAAGTTGGTTCCGACTCATAGCGACCCTATAGGACAGAGTAGAACTGCCCCATAGGGTTTCTAAGGAGCAGCTGGTAGATTCAAACTACTAACCTTTTGGTTAGCAGCCAAACGTTTAACCATTGCTAGCATCCCCATTTTAGAGGGAAGGAAACTGAGGCTCAGAGGCATTAAGTCAGGAGTTAAAGGTTGCATCGAAAGTGGCAGAGCCAAATTCAAACCCAGATCTCTGGGTCCAGAGCCATTACTTACGCCGGTCTCCCTCCAGGACTCTGGAGGCTGGGCCTCTAGCTCTGACTCGGAAACCTTGCCCCGAACCATGCCTGACGCCCCATCCTCCCACTTCGTTTCTTAGATGCCATCCGTCACTCAGATCCCGAACAAGCTGCCCTTGCCCTCTTGGTGGGGATGTCACCATCTGCCCAGAGATCACTCCCTCTCTGAGCACAATGCCTTGCCCAGGCTCCCTGTTCTCTCCCTGCCAACCCTGGGGTACGACAGCGGCCATTCCTGTCTCTCAGCTGGCTGTGCACTCACCCCTCCCAGGCCTCTTCTAAGCTCCTGGGGCTGGGACTGCTAGACTGTGGCTAGTGCCAGTAACAGCCTGGGGTGATAAACCAAGGGAGGGGCCTTGCTGTCCATGGTGTGGCCACCCTTTCCACCTCCCACCCAGAAAGGGCAGGGAGAACCACGTGCTATAAACAGAGCACAGAGCCCAACTCCCTGCCCCCTCTGCCTGCTCCCAGCTCCAGCTCAACTGGGAGACCTTGCCCAGAACCTTCTGCCTTAGAACCTA